TTGGGTATCAAAAACCCAACAATGGCATCTTATGTAGAATATGCCTTGGAAAACGTTTAATTAAAAACTGAAAAACAAGCCACTCACAGTAAAAAATTGCTTACTGTGGTAACATTTATTTCACATAGTATATTTTCATCTAGATCAACAGTGGATAGTACCTGCCACAAATATCTGAGTTTATGTCAATAGCGCCAACACAGATCCATTTGGCAGCCTTGAAGCCAAACGCTACTGGGTTTGACTGAGAGAATCACAACACAAAGATTACCAGTTCGCATGCTATATGTTTGCTTACGCTATTGACAACATTTCTGTGAAAATTATCAAATAAAAAGAACCTGCAGTCCCAATTGTCTGTCTCCTTCAACACTATTGAAATCATTCACAATTCCTATACCTAACTAAAACATAAAAATGGAAAAAAAAAAATTAATAATAATAATAATAATAAATAAATAAATAAATAAATAAATAATAATAATAATAAATGGAATCTAGTTGTATATGTCCTGATATAAGCATCAAGATGTGAAAACTGATAGCATACCCCAGCTATGCTCTACAGAAGGGTTAGAATAATACTGTCCGGTGTAAGGATCCGAGATGAAGCTCGACCAGCCCACCTGCCACTCAAAAATCCATACAAGATGTGATGTGCAATGCAGAAATAAGATATATCATATGCAAATAATAATTTTTTTTATCATCTTTATAAAAACTAATTAATTTGGATTTTGGATTTTGTATTGAAGAAGACCAAAGTCAATGTTTATGACATAATCATCTTTATTTCGGTTTTCTATTACCTCTTTTGATGTATCATCCGGAATAAAAATTTAGAAGAATCAAATTGATAAGATAACATATTTCACATAAATGCTAAGCATGTTTGAGATTATCAACTTATAAGAACACTTTCAATAGAGGGAAATGAATAATTGCCAATATCTTCAATGTCAATGATTTTTTTCCTTTTGACATTATCACCAAAACTAACACACCACTATCATTCTTTCTGAACCTTGATAACAAGGTTTGATTTTCGATCATGTACTTTGAGCATCCACTATCCAAGAACCATTTTCTCTTTATCTTCTTTGTTACCTACAAAAATAATTCAATTTTTGTTCTTTAGTACCCATACAACTTTGTGTCCATGGTTGTTAGTGTTTGTGGACTTTTGAATCCACTTGTGTTTCCTTTCAAAGTGCAACCTCGTTTTGATTGCACAATTAAAAGATACATGTCCATTTTTATTGTAAAATCCACATATAACATTTGCAATGGGGAAGTAGAGGCTTTAACGAGGAAATTTTTACGAGACTATTGATTTAAAAATGGTTTGTATCCAATTTTTCATTTATCAAAAACACATTTTTGTTCACCAAGCATTAAATCAAGCTTTTTCTTGCCTTGAGTAAATTTGTGAATAATTTGAGTGAAATCTAAAATATTTTCTTGTAAAAAAGAATTCTCCTTGATTAAAGAATCGTAATTGACTTTTTCTTTTTCAAAATAATTCAAAGTTTCCAAAAGTTTCTTTACCTTTTTCTCCAATAAAGAATTTTTCTTTTCTAGAGTGGAGTATTTGAGAGCAAGTTTTTCAAATTCTTCAAGAAGTTCATCCTATGAGATAGATGATTCATCATATAAAGAATTATCATTTGTGTTTGCCCAATTTTCGATGGCCATGAAACACATGTTGGCAACTTCCTGTTGACTTTCATCTTCATCATGATCTTCATCATCACTTTCATCCCATGTCGCTTAGAGTGCTTTCTTTTTCATGAATCTTTTCTTGTTTGGACACTCTATTTTCTTGTGACCGAATTTGTCTTAATCATAGCAAACAATTTTATTACTTTTCTCTTTGCCATTTTCTTCTTTCTTTTGAAATCAAGTTTTTCATCATTTAAATTTTTGCTTCAAGTTCCTTCATCCATTACCGACTTTAAAGTAATTTGGCATTTTTCTTCTTCTATGCTTTTCATTGTTTTCTCCTTTGTCTCGATACGATTTAGTTCATGCGTCATCACTGTTCCATAAAGCTCTTCTAATGGTTATGGTTGATATCTTTGGTGTTTTCTATCAACATTCTCAACAAGCTCCAATCATTTGAGAGAGGCCTAAGCATTTTACTCACAAGTTCACTGTTAGTAATTTTTTTTAAAACCCTTTGAGATCATTAATAATATCGGTGAAACGAGAAACCATATCAATGATAGGTTCATTTTGTTTCATAAAGAAATTTTCAAATTCCTTAACCAAAATATTTATTTTTTCCCTTTTAATTTGCTAGTGCCCAAGTGTGTGACTTCTATAGCACTTTATATATCAAAAGCAAAATAACATGTGCTTATGCGATTGAATTCATTATTATCTAAGGCAAAACAAAGTATGTTTATGGCTCTAGCATTCAATGATAATTTTCTTTTATCTTCTTCATCATATTCCTCTCTGAATTTTAAAATTATTTGATCCGATTTACTAGCCTCTTTAATAACCTTTTTAGCATGTAGGGTCCAAATTCAATGACTTTCTGAACGTTATAATCTATAGATTGAACATAAACCATCATCCTAACTTTTTAATAATTATAATGTGTGCCATCAAAAAAGAAAGGACGATTTGTATAATGCCCCTCAATGTTTCGAAGAATATGGTTAGCCATTACTCAAGATTGTGAATTCTTTAAAAATGAGTACCTAATTGTGATACCAATTGAAATCCCAGGAATAACTAGCTAAGTGGAGGGTGAATTAGTTTTTAAAACTTCTTCAAATAATTAATCTAAATTCAAGCAAATAAAGACTATATATTAATTTAAATTATAAGCACAAATATGAACAATTGATTTTGGATTTGCAAAAATATAGGAGTGTTATATCTTTAACTTCGGATATATGGGAGGGAATTAATAAAAGAGCTTATATAGCTGCAACTGCACACTACATAGACCCACTTTGGTATATTATGCATAAAAAATTTATGGCTTTTAAAATTATTGAATTCCCCTGTAATGCTAACAATATATATAATGCGATTATGACTATTATTAGAGAATATCTTGCGAAAGTAAAATTCATTCTTTTACATTTAACAACACTAGTGTTAATAAAGTGCCCACGGTTAGGAGCCGGCTGAAAAGAAGATATTTTGGAAGCATTATGTATACGAAGGATTGTCAGGACACTCATTTCCGACTACAAGATAAATATGACAAAATTGTATGGTCGTCGAGTAAGTGATATTTAATTACACCATTCTAATAAAAAAAATTATTTTATAATTCTGTTTTTAATTTTTTTTAAAAATTGTACACGTTACAAGTTGTTCGTATACAATTTTTAACACCGCCAACTCAAAATGTAAGTAGACGGTCCTAAACCCGAATAAAGGAGAAGGATTTATATTTTATCTATTTAAAAAAAAAAAAAAAAAAAAGAGCCATGAGCCACCGGTCGTGGGCTCATGGGTATTGCAATTTTTCTTCCTTCTCGTGGGTATTGTAATTTTTTTGCTTCTCCCTCTATAAATACCCGAACTTAACACATTTTTTTCACACAATTGACAATTCATTGAATTCAACAACTCTCTCTCTCTCTCTCTCTCTCTCTAATCTCTAAACATCCTCTTCCAAAGTTATCAAGCCTTTCCATACTCTTGAGTCTTTACTCAAGTCTTAGGTGAGGTCTAAATCTATGTGGCATACGATAAATTAGGAGCTAAAAAGTGCTTTATATACCCAATTTATAGTATGTCATAACCCTGAGCCCCATAACATAGATTGATAAGTGATATTTAATTAAATCATATTAATCATAACTTGTTATTTTATAATAATATTTTTAATTTTCTTTAAAAAATTGTACACGTTAAAAAATATACAAGTTTATATTTCATCTATTTTTTTGTAAAAACAAAAAATAATTGCAAGTTTGCTAGCCCAAGCTTGGCTCAGCCCACGAAACAAGAGCTCGGGGCGTGACGAGCACATGCCAAGCCCATGGTTAAAAGGGAGGAGCTAGCTCAGCCCATTGCGATCCCTAGGTGAGATCCTACAACCTATCATCACTTTCCTCATCCGACATCGATTTCAATCTTCAACAGAAATACTAATAATAGATTGAAGCTAACTTTTTAAATTTAAAAAAAAAATAAAAATAAAAAAGAAGAAGAAGAAGAAACAGTGATGAAAGAAATTGAGGAATACCATCGATCCATCTATGTTTATCCGTGCTAACAAATAAAAAGACGACACATTGTAAGCTACCATATTCCACTCACGAGAAATAAAGCAAAAAATACCACAACTTACATGGACAAAACCACCACATTTGGTGCAAACTTATATTTCAACTTGTGGATTTGAACTGCCCCAAGGGAAATTACATTCGATCACTGCAATTTGAATTCCATTCTCTTTTACAAAATTGAGACAGATTAATCTAGTTGTACAATTAGTGAGTTGTCAAGATTCGTGCAGTCGATTTAAAAACAATGTAGAATGAATGGATGTGATATCTATCAAGTGTGAAGTTGTAAAGAAAGTTATACAAATAGCATGACTCAAATGAAACTCTCTCTCCAATTACAGCAAAGGGGATGCTCTCAAAAGTCACACTTCGGCAGCCTGGTGCCTTTGATGCTACTTCGACCATTGAGGTCTGCCACCTATCTTTGGACACTTTTCTTCATTTTCATTTGTACTTGATCACCATGACTTCAATACTTAAATAGGAAGAAGTGTTTTTTCTTGATTATGCCATGTACTCGTTATTATTTTTTCAACCTAAAATCAAATTTCAATTGCTTTCTGAAAGTTGTTTTTTGAACCATAATCTTTTATATTCTGAATAAATATACATCTACAATTTGGAAAATGCAGATCCTATTCAGAGTTCTATCAACTAATAAGTAATAAGAGGTGAAATGCATTTAAAGTTTAAGCTGTAATACGTGCATATGACACATTAGTGTGAGCAAAAATGACTAGCTTGAACTCTAATAGAATCAATGCACGACCAAAATAATATATTGCAAAATCACAGAGTGTTGTTCATTTTAAGGTTGCATACAAATGAGTTTTCACCAAGACGAAATGAAACTCCGACCTGGGCTGGTACTCTTAAAATTCTATTATTGAACAAACTAGATATTCAATTATCATGACCTAAATAAATAGGGAAACAGGCAAAATATATTCTGGAAGCATCAACGAAGCCATCTTCTCCACCAATACGAAGCTCCTTCAGGAGGCGGTGGTGTGAGGACCTCTAGCATTGTTTCCTTCTCCCTCGGGGTTAATGGGACTCCTCTAACGAGGTTTAAAGCCATAATGTGCACATTAGTCTTTTGCCTATGCTTTTTGTATGCCCACATTCCTCCAGCGACACCTGCAGCTAAAAGCTATTTCCAAGTTTCAATTTTGTGTCGTTAGTTCCCAGATTATGAATACAACCAAGAAGTTAGACGGGCCTCTTTAACTAACCGGTGATAACCATAGACCAGCTGTCTGCAAATCAAATTTCGGCTCATAAAGCACTGTCTCACCATATTCTTCCCCGAGCTTCTTGTAGATCTCTTTATCAGATTTCCCATCCCGAATTTCATCCCGTATTAACTTAAGCAGAAATCAAAGAAAATATCAATTCCCACATCCGTGTTGTATGCGGGCAATCGATTAAAAAAGCATATTTAAGAAAAAGGACATATGATGCAGACTCAACTAACTAGATTTTGTAAGTAGCAATGACAAGAAAGTGAAATAACACCAAAAGATAAATAAACTTTATAAATTAGAATTGCGACTACTGATAACAAGAATACACTGTATTAAAAACAAACTCTAGCAAATAAAATGTTTTGTTGAGATGCATGGATCAACCTCCTAAATAATCAGCCCCATTTATTCATTCTGAAAAACCAAAGATCCATTATTCAAAATCAGGGACAGCTAAGCACTTAATAAAATTACTCACTTATCTATCTAGCCTCATTCTTACTAAAGATTAACCAGGTAGTCATATTAGACGTCTTTATAAGTGCGAACATCTAAATGTATTCCGTCCAGGTAATGTTCGTCTTCATGTGGGCATTTTAGTTCTACAGTTGCATTCTACAAACAGCACATCAAATGAGAGTGCTCAATACAAAAATATCGTACCATTTCTCAATGTAACAAGATTTTCTTAATAGTAACGAGAAGAAGTTTAATGTGCACAAGAACTATTAATAGATATACCTTACGAAGGAGAATGGCAATGTCAGCTTGGGATTCTTCAATGGACTGACTTCCACACTCTGTGCACCGCACATTGTGACTTATGTTTCTAGCTCGCGCTTCCACCACACGTTTCTTCTTCACTAGATCCTCTTCGCTCTCCATCCACACGTATTTTAATTATCTACAATCACTTTCACAACACTACTCAACAACGGCTGCAATGTCAACAAGAATTTATCACTGTCGAGTATGTTAAAGAATTAAAAAATTAAAAATTAAAAAAATGCCACACTACTATCACTGTTGACCTTCACTCAGGCATTTCATCAAACACTATTTGTTAATATTTTTTTTCTGCTGGTATCTCCGCAGCATTTCCTATACTGCTATTTTATTGCAATTAAAACTATATCTCGAGTCCCATTAAACTTCAATAAGCACACGTCATAGATTCATAGCACCACGTCAAACAGAAACAAATCCCACAAAAAACTAAAATGAAATCCAACAGATAAATTTCTCCACACAATTAAAATGACAAAATGACCAGTGACCACCGGTACTCAGCAGCCAAATAACCCAATAATTAGTAAACAAATAGAGAAGGGAACTTCAAAACTCAAAGGACCAAAACAACAATAAGATGAATATGGTAGCGATGACAGATGTGAACGTTGACGGAGGGGGTGCTTGGCCGCGGCTTCGGTGTGCAGTGGAAACTTGGTCGACAGATGGAGCTGGGTTGTGTATGCTGCAGTGGGAGAAGAAATGCAGGGATAACGTGGGGCCGCGACAGGACTGTTGGGTGATCGAGTTGGAGCGTCGCGACTGGTGACGGTCGGTGATGTAGAGGTGGTGGTGGAATTTGGAGGAGGAGACGGTTGAGGATCCAAGTATTCGCGGTTGGACAAGGGCTTCGATTTTGTGGCTGGGTTGGTGCTTTTGTAATAGGAGGGATTTATGATCTCAACGGGCTCGATTGGGTGGTATTTAGTTGAGAAAATTACAACCACACATGTTTTTTAACTTTTAACTTCAAAAATCAGGTTTAAAATTTATCTATTCAAAAATCAGGTTATAATTAAACTTTTAATATTAATAATAATATTATGAACTTAAATTAATATACTAATTATGGATAAACTCTTAACCCAACGGATATTTTTCAAAAATATCTCCTTCTGCAGTTTGCTAAATTCATAGTCTTTACGAGAGACCGTCAACTCCCTGGGAGCACTCTACCTCTACCAGAGACCGTCGACCCCTCGGGGGCGCTCTACCTCTATGCGAAACCAGCGACCTGCATGGAATTACCTTTAAGGTCATCTCAACACTTAGCCTCAAAATCTCTGATGAATTACATGGCAATTACCACGAACACAACCTCCGTGGGGTAGTTAAAACCCCCCACTCAAAACGTGAGAATAATGTGAAAGCCAGCGTGGGACATGTGGCATCACAGTCACCCCGCTCTCACTCGGCTTCTGACGTCTATAAATACCTCCCAAAGGCGATACAGGTATGGATGATTGCATATTTTTCAGCTATCTGAATTTCGAATTTATTTTCTCCTAACACGCCCACTAATTCTCACACCGGGGGTAAAACGGGGAAAAAAGCCCCGTCTTCACTTTTCAGGTTGCACACGTCCGTCGGAGTAGCAAAAACACCAAAGGTCGCAAATAGATCAGGAGGCATTACTCCACTACCATTTCATTGGCGCCGTCTGTAGGAAGATTTGAACTAAAAAGCTATGTCGAGAAGACAAACAAGCAGTGATACTCATTTGGTTGGGAATACGGTGGAGATGGAGTCGGAGTCAGTTGCGAGGGGTCACGAACCACCGCCGTCCCCGCAATATGTGACGCATGGTCAATTTAACGCTTTGGAGACTCAGTTGGCAATGATGATAGCACTCTTACAAAACCAGTCGCAGAGAGCCACAGTCCCCCCATTGAGCTCGACAGAAGTGACAAACCAGCAGTCGCCTCAAGCACCGCCCGCGGTATTCCACCCATCGCTCAGTAGGCGACGGGAGATTCGGGGGCTCCTATGGTTGTAGCTCAATAGCCCCCGCAGGCCATGGTGGACCTGGAACAAAAGATGGAAGAAATCATAGCCCAGAAGATAGATGACGCACTATCCAAGAGGCAGGATAGGCGAAGGCAGATGGTTTTGGAGGAAGGCCCGTTTGCACCTGAGGTCATGGCGGTCCCTTTACCTAAAAGCTTCAAACAGCCCATGATAGAAGCGTATGACGGAGTTACGGATCCGCTTGACCACTTGCAAACCTTTGTAGATTTGATGAGACTTTACGCGACCCCGGACGCAGTGATGTACCGGTCCTTTCCCCCCACACTCAGGAGGGAGGCTAGGGACTGGGTAGCAACCTTCACCCCGTGGTCTATCAAGATGTTTGATGAGCTCTCAGGAGCTTTGTGGCTTACTTCCTAAATAGCAAGAGGAAGAGGAAGACGGCCATTGGGTTGATGCAGGTCGTACAGAAGAAGGATGAGTCATTGCAGGAATACTTGGCTAGGTTCAGTCGGGCGACTCTTGGCATAAAGGACTTGCAAATGTCTGCAGTGGTTACCGTCTTGATAAATGGAAAGCGAAATCAGGCCTTTAAGATGTCACTCTCAAAGAATCCCCCGGAGTCGATGCATGACCTGTTGAAGAAGGGAGACAAGTACGTCGATGTAGAAGAAGCGGAGAAGGTAACTAAAAATCTCAGGGATGGATGGAAGACAGAAGCTCATAAGCAAAAGACAAATGATGAGCGGAGGCACGCTGATAAGAATAAGCCGAAGAACGAATGCATAAACAAGGGTTGCACCCAGGACCGGTTAGTCAAGCAGAAGCGAGAGGAGGTACAAGCGCCCACCCCTTTGAATGCCCACGTACAAAGTTATTAATGGAAATACAGCACATGAAAGAGCTCGAATGGTCTAAGCCGATGCTGACTCCCTCCAGCAAGAGAAATCAAAGTAAGTACTACCATTTTCATAAAGATCATGGACACGATACCGAGGAATGTCTGCAGTTGAAGGAGGAAATTGAGCACCTACTAAGGTGGGTACTATTGGCTAAGTATGTGAAAAATGACAAGGGCAAGTAAAGGCTCGAGGATCGACCCCCGCTAAGGACAGGAGTAATAAACATGATCATCGGGGGTATAGCATCGGGTGGCAACTCAAATTCTACTAAAAAGAGCTGTGCGCGTTCTGTGGGGGTCTGCTCTATCTAGGAAAAAGCAAGATTCAACCAGAGGATTACTTTCGATGAAAAGGACTTGATCGGTATAACGCATCCCCATGATGACGCCTTAGTGATAGTAGGTGATATAGCGGATTTTGACGTGAAGAGAGTGCTAGTTGACGGGGGAAGTGCGACAAATGTCCTCACCTAGGATGCCTTCTTGGGTCTAAAGATTCCCCCCGAGAAGTTGAAAATGGTGACTACCCCTCTACAAGGCTTTAGAAGAGCAACAGTGATACCGAAAGGAACTATGGAGCTTCCAGTTACACTAGGCACATATCCCACGACAATGGTGATTGTGACTAACTTCTTGGTTGTCAAGACCCCCATGGCCTACAATGCCATCTATTGCCGGCCATTGCTAAACGTAGCTGTTGCTGTCCCATCAACCTACCATCAGGTTATGAAGTTCCCAACTAGCAGGGGAGTCGGGTGCGTGCGAGGGGACCAGCAGGCATCAAGGAAATGCTATGTGGATAGTATACAAGCTAAAGGTTCAACACCAATCATGATGCTAGATGTGGAACTCCTAAGGGGATGGATCGAGCCGCTCGATATGACTGAAAAAATCTTTATAGCCGAGGGACGGGAGTTTAGTGTTGGAATAGGTCTGGAATCCGAGGAGAAGGAAAAATTGACAAATGTCTAGCCAGTAACTTGGACGTTTTCGCTTGGGGCCCAGAAGACATTCTAGGGATCAGCCCAACCATCGCGCAGCACCACCTTGGTGTCCAACCAGGGGCTAAGCCGGTGAAGCAGAAAAAAAAATCTTACCCCGGAAAGGCAGAGCGCAGCCAGAGCAGAGGTAGAAAAATTGCTACAGGCAGGTTTTATTCGAGAAGTGCAGTACCCCCGAGTGGTTGGCAAACGTTGTGCTTGTGAAGGAGTCAAACAAAAAGTGGCGCATGTGTGTAGATTATACTGGGTTGAACAAGGTATGCCCAAAAGACTCATACCCGCTTCTCAGGATAGATCATCTGCTAGACACCACATCTGGTCATGAAAGGCTCAGCTTTCTAGATGCATTTTTCGAGTACCATCAAATTTCAATTGTCGAGCCCAATCAGGAGAAGACGTCATTTATCACAGACTTTGACACATACTGTTACACAGCCATGCCATTCGGTTTAAAAAACGTCGGGGCAACTTATCAGAGGATGGTGAACAAAGTCTTTCGAGGGTTGATCGGGGATGTTGTAGAGGCCTATGTTGACGACATGGTGGTCAAGAGTTTCGAGGCTGATGACCATGTTGCCTGTTTACAGGAAGTGTTTGATGTTGCCCAACAAAACAGATTGAGGTTCAATCCAGAGAAGTGTGTTTTTGGTACTGCGGGAGGAAAATTCTTAGGCTTCATGATCACGCAAAGAGGCATCGAAGCGAACCCAGACAAAATTCAGGCGATACTGGATATGAAAAGCCCCACCAGCAAGAAGAAGGTCCAGAGACTAACAAGGCGGGTAGCCGCTTTAAATCGTTTCATGAGCCGGGCGGCGGACAAATACTACCACTTCTTTAGGGCTATAGGGGTTCCTCCGATTTTGAGTGGACCCAAAAATGTGAAGAGTCACTTAGGTGCCTAAAGCAGTCATTACAAGAGCCCCCAATCTTGACCAGTCCATTCCCCAGAGACGTGTTGTGTCTCTACTTAGCAGTCTTACCACGAGCAGTCAGCACGGTGTTGGTGAAAGAATTCTCGAAGGCGAAAAAATCGGTCTACTATGTGAGCCAAGTATTGAAGGGCGCAGAGGTAAGATATAGCCTGGCTGAGCAGCTAGTGTTTGCATTAATTGTCGCGGTTAGAAAGATGAGACCATTCTTTCAATCTCACACGGTGCAAGTAATGACCGATCAACCTATCAAGCAAATCCTACATCGACCAGAAACCTCTGGGAGTTTGTTGAAATGGGCAATTGCGATAAGTGAGTTCTATATTGAGTTTAGGCCAAGGACAGCTATTATGGCATAAGCTCTAGCAAACTTCATCGCTGAACTCACAATTCCGCCCAAGCACCCACCAGGGTAACAGGCAGACTGGAAAATTTTTGTGGACGAATCTTCAAACGATGAGAGATTCGGGGCGGGGATCATAATGATAGGGCCAAATGGTGAAGAGTTGGAATACTCACTACGTTTCGAATTCCCAGCCACCAATAACGATGTCGAGTACGAGACGGTGATTACGGGTTTGGGACTGGCAGCCAAACTGGGGGTAACTTCAGTAGAAATTTGTAGTGACTCTCAGTTAATAGTCTGGCAAGTGAGGAAGTGTATTTGATGGAGGTTAAAAATTTGTAGAAGGGGTTCACCAGGTTTAAAATAACAAAGGTCTCCCAAAAAGATAATGAGTGGGCAGACACATTGGCTAGGCTTACTTCTGCTAACCCCAGACATCTGCCTCGCACAGCAAATGTGCAAATCTTAAGACAACCTAGCATCCAGGATGTTGTCGATGTCGTAAATGTCGAGCATGAGGAAAGTTGGATGGAACCGTTGATTGAATATCTCATGAAGGACAAGCTGTCGGAAGATGCTTTCACGGCAAGAAGGCTAAAGGCTTGGATCCCAAAAAGATAATGAGTGGGCAGACACATTGGCTAGGCTTACTTCTGCTAACCCCAGACATCTGCCTCGCACAGCAAATGTGAAAATCTTAAGACAACCTAGCATCCAGGATGTTGTCGATGTCGTAAATGTCGAGCATGAGGAAAGTTGGATGGAACCGTTGATTGAATATCTCATGAAGGACAAGCTGTCGGAAGATGCTTTCACGGCAAGAAGGCTAAAGGCTTGGGCAGCCTCGTTCGCCATCATTGATGGACTGCTTTACAAGCGAGGTTTCATAATTTCGTATTTGAAATGTTTGTGGCCGACAGAAGCACGAGAGGTGCTAGTCGAGATACATACAGGAATTTGTGGCAACCACCAAGCGACAACCGCCCTTGCGTTCAAGGCACTACGGCAAGGATATTATTGGCCTAGCATGAAGGAAGATACTAAGGAGTTGGTGAGGAAGTACGATGCATGTCAACGCCATGGAAATTTGATCCACATTCCAACTAAGCAGCAGACGGTAGTTTTTGGGGTGTCCTTTCTTCCAATGGGGGATGGACATCTTAGGGCCTTTGCCCCTAGCCAAAGGGCAAAGGAAGTTCTTGCTAGTTGCCATAGACTACTTCACTAAGTGGGTAGAGGCTGAGCCCTTGGCTACCATCACAACAACAAAGGTGCAAGGTTTCGTCTGGAAAAATATAATATGCAGGTTTGGCATACCCAGAGTAGGCATTACAGATAATGCCAAACAATTCGACAATCACAGTTTTAGAGCCTTCTGCACAAGCTACCACATCGACCACAGGTTGACTTCAGTCGCTCACCCTCAGTCAAATGGACAAGCTGAAGTGACCAATCGAACTATACTATGGGATTTGAAAACAATGCTAGAAAAGGAGAAAGGACTTTGGGCGAACGAGTTGCCCAATGTACTATGGGCTTATCATAGGACCCCACAAGAATCGACCGGTGAAACGCGTTTTAAGTTGTCATCGAGATAGAGGCAGTTATCCCCGTCGAAATTTTGAGTGAGACTGGTAGAATGAAAACCAAGTAGCCTGACGTCACAGCCATCAGGGCGGAACTCGACTTACTTAAAAGGGCTAGAAAAAGGGCAGCGATAAGGATGTTAGCGTACAAGCGAAGGGCCGCTGAATATTTCAACCGAAGGGTAAGATCCAGAGTTTTTCAACCTGGTGATCTTGTACTAAGAGATGCAGCCGCAGTAAAACATCTCCCACCGAAGCTCGGGCCGAATTGGGAAGGGCCATATGAAGTAATCCGCAGCCTCGAAAAAGGAGCCTATAGTCTAAAAGATATGAAAGGAAAGCCATTGGGTAGGCCATGGAATGCGGAATATCTCAAAAAGTACTATCAGTAGACCCATCAATTAGAAAGATAGGTTGTTTCTTTTGTAAATATAGTAGAAAAGGTTGCATTGTTCATTTTCCCCGTGGAATGCCTCACGAAGGCACACTTAGGTAAAATAGCTTATCTTATTCAATGAAAAACTTTGGCAGTGGTGAATGATGAGGGCGCTACGGAAAGGCCAGCCTAGCTGAGACATCTAGGTGCACCTATTGAGCCCACGAATCCAAGTATTTTTTATGCTAACAGGCAATCTTGAATCTCCACATTTATCCCGTGAAGACATACGGTCGACATAGCCTACGAGGCTAGGCGGAGAGCCTTGAAAAGTCAAAAAATTGGCTAAGGCCCTAAACCGCCAAACCACTTCCCTATGGTCGACATAGCCCATGAGGCTAGGTGGAGAGTCTTGAAAAGTTAAAAAACTGGCTAAGGCCCTTAACCGTCGGACCACCTCCTGACGATCTACATAGCCCACGCGGCTAGGCGAAGAGCCTTAAGAGTTAAAAAATTGGCTAAGCCCTAAACCGCCAGACCACCTCCTGACGATCGACGTAGCCCACGTAACTAGGCGGAGAGCCTTAAGAGTCAAAAAATTGGCTAAGGCCATAAACCGTTAGACTACCTCCTACGGTCGACATAGCCCACGAGGCTAGGCGGAGAGCCTTGAAAAGCCAAAAAAAATTGGCTAAGGCCCTAAACCGTCAGACCACTTTTCTGCGGTCAACACAGCCCACGAGACTAGGCGGAAAGCCTTGGAAAGTCAAAAAATTGGCTAAGGCCCTTAACCGTCAGGCCACCTCCTGACGATCGACATAGCCCATGAGCCTAGGCGAAGAGCCTTGAAAAGTCAAAAAATTGGCTAAGGCTTTTAACCGTTAGACCATCTCCTGACGATCGACATAACCCACGTGGGCAGGCGGAAAGCCTTAAGAGTCAAAAAATAAGCTAAGGCCATAAATCGCCAGACCACCTCTTACGGTTGACATAGCCCACGAGGCTAGGCGGAGAGCTTTGGAAAGTCAAAAAATTGGCTAAGGCCCTTAACCACTAGACCACCTCCCTACGGTCGACATAGCCCACGAGGCTAGGCGAAGAGCCTTGGAAAGCTGAAAAAACTAGCTGGGGCCCTTAACCGCCAGACCACCTTCTAACGGTCGACGTAGCTCATGCAGCAAGGCGAAGAGCCTTGAAAAGCTAAAAGATCGGCTAAAGACCCTAATCAATATACTCCTCTCTCAACTCCGTCTCGACCCACGTGGCTAGGCAGAAAGACCTAAATGGTCAGAGCATAGGCTAAGGCCATCGATCATTGTAATCAAGCACGCGGGACTAATGGCATTCACCCACACTATCAAACAACTGAACATGAAAAATAACACTGGGAGAAACAAGTTTCAACATCAATAACCGCTGATAACATAGCATTCATAAAAAAAAGCATGTGATATACTCTTGCCCACACCCCCGGGCAAGTAGGAAATGATGCTACATATAGAAATAAAAGGCGACAAAAAAAGGGGAACTAACAAAAGGAGCTACTGCTAAGCCATGCTTCAACTCGAGGGAGAAATACCACCACTACCGCCCTACGACGAAGGACCAAGTGGACTAGATAACTGCACCCCACTCTCCTTTACCTTGCGCTGTGCAAGGAACTTATCAAAACCTGAAGGAGCAATAGAAGGGTGCTCGATCGATATCCATTCCTTGGTCAGCTTGATGGACGCCGCCATCTCCTTTCCCCGTACGAATGCAAAGCCTTGGCGTAATCAGACGATGACTTGTACTGCTCAACAGATGCCTCCAAGTTCCTATTATACTCAGCAGAGGCCTTATACCTCTTAACCGCCTCCTCCAGAGCACGAGCCAACATAGACTGTAAATAATCGTTCTCCGTCTCTTGCTTGCGGGCTCGAGCCTCCGACACCTCTAGAGATTTCTTCAAGGAAGATATCTTCTTCTTATAGTGATGAGCCTCTTTTTTCCTTTCCTCTGCAAGAGTCTTCAGATCTAAGGCCTGGCGACGACTCGATTCAGTAAGCCCGGTCTGAAGGGCCACCACCTAAAAGATAAAAAGACAATATGAGAGTCGAGTGGTATAACCATGCGCAAAAAATAATACTCAACGTAATAATAATAATAATAATAATAATAATAATAATAATAATAATAATAATAATAATAATAATAATAATAATAGAATTAGAAGCATGCCCTCTGGAGATAGACCGTCGCAGCCCTCTTGATGTCGTATGCGCTACATCCTGCTATCGCCCTGACCTACGCAGGTGTCACTAAAGACTTAAGTACCTCCATCTCACGATAACCCCGGGTGGGAGGAAACCCGAAATTAGGGGGTGAACCCTCACGCTCCCCCCGCATGCGACTGGAAGAGCCCAACCTAGGAATAAGAGCAACCTCGATAGGCTCGTTTGGGGGCTGGGGAGTCTCTTTTGCTACTTGAGACTTTCCTCCTTGGTCAACCATCTTTTTCCTCTTTAAGGGGGCGGGGCTTGGCTCAGTGTCACTTCCATGCCCTTGTTCAGGCATAGAGTCCATGGTCCCTTTTAGATCAAATTTCATTCCTGTACATGTAAGGAAAGGCTTGTCAGGCTTGCAAAACAAAAGAGTGTGAGAATACAAAACTAGGAAGAGAAGCTCAAGAGTTTACCGTCAATGGGAGCGTGACCCTTGTCACCTCCCAATAAGGTCTTCAATACCTCGTTCAGATCGAAGTCCATATCCGTATGCACTTGCCCAAACAGATTAGTCCCAAAAAACAACAAATAAGAAATATGTGCAAGTCAAGAATAACAGGAACCGGTGGAAGTAGCCTACCAGTAGGACGACTCATCCCCACTATCAACATGTTTCTCATGATCAAGACCGATCCTAAGTCAAGCGCGAGAGGAGATATATGAACCAGCTATTGGATTTGAACTTTTAGAGTAGAGGAAGCTTCTACTTGACTATTGAAAAGGCGAATTTGAGGATGCCGCCAATAGGTATTGAAAGGAAACAGACCTGTTGACGGCCAGACAAAAAAAATCGAGATTTCCAACCGCTATTCGAATTCCTGAACTTAGGAAACAGCAAAGGGACCCTAGCGGTAAAAAAGACAAACGCATTGCACTGATCTAATTCATGCATCTCAAAGACACACCTAAAGAGGTCCATGGAAAGTGGAATTCTTCTCCTAAGACAAGCATACAAGAAATACAATGCTTTTCTCCAAGCATTGGGATTTATTTTACTAAGAGTGAGATGAAACTCATTGAAAATCGACACGAAGAAAGGATGAATGGGTAGCCGGAAACCACCATCCATGATGTCCTTATACATTGCTATCTCGCGGGGGTCGGACCTAGGGAGCCTCTCTTTAGGACCGGGGGCTCTATAGATATAGTCATCGACCCGGTCATACCTAGCAAGATATTTCTCTGGCTTAAGCGAAGAATTGTAAAGGCTATAACTTTTTGGAATTTCAAGGGGGATGACTTCGCCAACCGGGTCTCACTCGATTTCTAAGTTTTGGTTTGGAGACTTGGTAGAGCCAATATGTCTCTTGGGGGAATTTGAAATAAATGCCTAAGAATCAACTGAAAGGATTTGACTATTAGACTCATAAGGAAACCCGTCAGACGGAAGGGAAGAGGCTGAACCAACCAACCGCGCGGACAGGCGACGGGGGGCTGGTTGATCGACTACCTTGGTCGATTGACCAAATGCTGGTCGATCGATCCACGGTCGATCAACCAGATGCTGGTCGGTCGACCGACCAACTGGTCGGATCTTTTTCGACGTCGATCGGTCCCTCATCACTATTTTCATCAGAAGAAGAAGAAGAAGAGATGATAGTTTTGTACATGATTTTACAAAAATGAAGAGAAAAGAGAAGAAAATTACCTTGGAAAAGAGAGAACCTTGGAAGAGAGGAAAAACTAAAATGTTTGGAGGAGAAGAAAATGGCTCACATGTGAGAGACCACTCCCTTTTAGAAGCAAAAGGGATTCAAAATTTTTGGGGAGAAAATTCCCTCCATGATCATGCCCATTTGTTGGATGCCAAGTGTACAGTGGAATAGCTGCCCGAACCATATTGCACTGTTTGACTTGTTCACTCGAGTTAATTTTATTTTAAAAAAATAATAAATAAAATAAAATCCTTATAAAGGAAGTTGCTACCCCTCCGTCGAAAAAATATTGACAGGGAGTAGGGGGCTAATGATATCAGTTAACATAAGAAATCGCTTCCAAAGATATGCAATGTAAATCATGACACGCCAATGCGAAGTCATCAACCCTAGGTTGCGTCTATCTCTACGATAGACCATCAACCCCTTGGAAGCGTACTACCTCTACGAGAGACCGTCGACCCCCTGGGGGCGCTCTACCTCTACGAGAGACCGTCGACCTCCCGGGGTGCTCTACCTCTACGAAAAATCGTCAACCCCTTGGGGGCACTCTATCACTATGCGAGACCAGCGACCGGCATGGAATTACCTATAAGGTCATCTCAACACTTAACCTCAAAATCTTTGATAAATTATCAAAATTACATGGCGGTCACCACAAACACAACCTCCATGGAGTAGTTAAAACCCCCCACTCAGAACGTGAGGATAATTGGAAGCCCAACGTAGGACACGTGGCACCACAGCCACCCGGCTCTCACTCGGCTTCTGACGTCTATAAATACCTCCCAAAGGCAATATAGATATGGATGATTGCATATTTTTTAGCTATCTGAATTTCAAATTTATTTTCTCCTAACACGCCCACTGATTCTCACACCGAAGGTAAAACGGGGGAGAAAGCCCCACCCTCACTTTTTAGGTTGCACACGTCCGTCGGAGTAGCAGAAACACCAAAGGTCGCAGATAGATTAGGAGGCATTACTTCACCACCATTTCACTCACCATGTTTACTCCACTAGACTTTGACTAGTGGAACCTTTCAATTTCTCAGGACATGGTCCTTTCTCCCCTGAATCACTGCAGGAGCTTCCTCGTACGTCATATCACTCTGGACATCCAGTGATTGAACATTTACTAAATGATTAGGATCCGAAATGTACTTTCTCAACATAGAAATGTGAAATACGTTGTGCATTGCTGAAAGATCGGGTAGCAATGCTAATCGATATGCCACATTCCCAATCTTTTCAAGAATCTCAAATGGATCGATAAATCTAGGGCTTACCTTCCCTTTCTTTCCAAATCGTAGTATTCCCTTTATCTGTGCCACTTTGAGAAATACTTTCTCTCCAATCTCGAAAGTTAATTCTTTTATCCTTTTATCGGCATAACTCTTTTGACGATCTTGGACAGTCTTAATTCTTGATCTAATTTTATATATAGCCTCTATAGTCTTCTCGACCAATTCTGGGCCTAAAATTCTCATTTCACCAACTTCATCCCAGTTTAATGACGAACAACATCGTCTACCCTACAAAGCCTCATACGAGGTCATGCCAATAGTGGCTTGAAAGCTATTCTTGTATGCGAATTCAACTAACGACAAAAGATCTTCCCATTTACCACCCAAATCTAGGACACAAGCTCTCAACATGTCTTCAAGAACTTGTATAGTTCGTTCAGATTGTCCGTCAGTTTGAGAATGGTAAGCAGTACTAAATGTTAACTTAGGAGCATGAAGCTCTCCGTGAGCCCACAAAAGCATGAGGAGAGCTGTAATCCGTAATTTCAGCATTCAATGTGTATTCCTGAATAATCTCATTTTTCAATTATTCAACCCTACGCTTTTGTAGGTTACGAGGGACCCTCATGTTCCACAGATCAGAGTGAGTGGCTCTTTCGCTCGGAGCTGTAATCCGAGCACAGCTCAAAGAGTGAGACAAGAATAGGCTGTGAAGTGAGCCCCCCGCATTCAATTCGATTCAATGGAGTACGGGGAAGTCCTTAGCTGCTCTAACCTGTACTCGTAGCTTTCTGAAGACTTATCCAAAACTTTGAAGTAAACCTTGGGTCTCTATCTGATACGATAGATGTCGGAAACACATGAAATCGCATAATCTTCCTGACATAAATTTGTGCGACCTGTTCTAAGCTGTAGGTTGTCCGAACTGGCAAGAAATGAGCAAATTTTGTAAGTCGGTCCACAATTACCTAGTTTGCATCATGATCTCTCACCGATCTAGGAAAACCACTGACAAAATCCATTGTAATCTTTTTCCACTTCCATTCAGGTATGTCCATGGGGTTCAACGGTCCCGACGGTCTCTGATGTTCAGCCTTCAATTGTTGGCAAACCATGCATTTGGACACGAACAGAGCTATTTTCTCCTTCATATTTCTCCACCAAAATGTGTTACGCAAATCTCGATATATTTTAGTTCCACCGAATGGGCGGCAAAAGGAGTTGAGTGAGCCTGAGTCATAATTTCATTTCTCAACACTTCATCCTTTGGCATGTAAAATCGACCCTTAAATATCAAGGCTTTGTCTTTGGCTATTTCAAATCCTTTCCTCTTTTCAGTTCCTACATCGGCCCTGATCTTTTCCAAAAAGGGATCATCTTTCGAAGCGGCTACTATTTTGTGCCTGAGTGTCAATTTCACAGTAAAACTTGCTAACTTCGCCGATGTCCTTACTGGCGACGTTAATACTTCAATTCTCAAGTTTTCAGAATCTCTTATTAAATGATCCTGCCTTGTATACAGTGCTGACAACTGTCCCATGTTCTTTCGACTCGGTGCATCAGCAACTGCATTAACTTTACCCGGATGGTGCAGGATAGTACAATCGTAATCTTTCACTAATTCAAACCACTGTCGCTGTCTCACATTCAACTCCTTTTGGGTGAAGAAGTATTTGAAACTCTTGTGATCAGTGTAGATCTCACACTTGCTCCCATATAGATAGTGGCGCCAAATCTTCAAGGCGTGCACTACCGCTGCTAGTTCAAGATCATGCGTGGGATAATTCTGTTCATATTGCTACAACTACCTCAAAACATAAGCTATCACATTCCTATGTTGCATCAAAATACATCCTAAACCAAGCTTGGATTCATCACTGTAAATCACAAAACCTTCTGAACCATCAGGAATAGTCAAAACCGGCGCAGATATGAGCCTATCCTTTAACTCTTGAAAACTCTGTTCGCATTTCTCCGACCATATGAACTCAGTACCCTTCCGAGTCAATTGTGTCAAAGGACCTATAATCTTGGAGAATCCTTCTATAAATCGCCAATAATAGCCAGCTAACCCTAGAAAGCTCCGCACTTCTCCAACGTTTGTAGGTTTCAGCCAATTGGTTATGGCCTCAACTTTGGATTGATCCACTTCAATTTCTCGTACTGAAACAGTATGGCCTAGAAATCCCACTCAGTCAAACTGAAATCCTAACAACTGCAAACAGATTGAATTAGAATAATATATATAAATTTAAATTAACTGCAGAAAGCAAGCATGTAGCTCATACTTGAAATTCCATTTTTATTATGGCAATTGATTACATGCATTTACTTACATCATATCGTTATACTTTGTGTGGAAAAATAAACAAAGCAAAAGGAACATAACAAGAAGAGGCAGTACCTGATTAGAAGAAGACAGAGGTTGCAACTGAGGGCGTAACTTTTGATAAGTAGTGATCCAAGCATCTTCTGGTGGAGGAGAAATTATTGAAATTCCACTGGTTGATGAAGATGACGAAGCTAGGGTTTGTCTTTCCATTTTTTACAGATTATAGTTATGGAATAATTTTCAAAGGTATTTATTTCTGTTCACAAATCGGTGGCCATTTTCTCCTCCTCTGGTCTTGTAGTTTGGTTGAATTGCGGGATGGGATTTTTTGCCTTTATCAAATGAAATTAATAAAATCATGCTAAATGACGCCATCGTGTGTCAGAAAGCCCATAATTCAAGAAAATTTAAAAAAGCAGTCATCAGCAGCTAGCTTATATGAATAAAAAATAAAAACATAAGCAGTAAAGCAGTCATAATCTCACAAACGTCGATGTTTAGTTTATGCTAAGTATTGAATAACATGGTACATTACAATAGGTGGGGAAAGATAATGGTTAATTTTAAAAATAATTACTTCACCCACCTAAATATAGTGCTTAGAAGATCAAATTCAAACAGTAAAGGCCAGAAAAAATGCGTTGACAGCAGGATTAGAACCTGCGCAGACCCAGCCCAATAGATTTCAAGTCTATCTCCTAAATTGGAAGCCATTAATATATGAAAATTATTGATAAAACATATAAATAAAATATCAAGATTTCTAGTCTAGCTAAAATCTTGCTAGTCAATCGAACTGTAATATTGAAGACGAGAGAAGAATATTAATTCTTTCGTTGAAAATGATTAAACTTCACACTTGAAAAAAAAAAATTTTTTTTTTTTATAGTAAGGTTGGACAAAACTCCCGAACTGAGCGATTCTTTTTAGGTAAAATACTCAAATGGGTATCTGAATCGAGAACTGATGGGCTCGGTTCAATTCTCGATTCTAGATCAAAAATCGAATAAGAACAAAATCTCCCTAATTTTTTTATTTAATTTATTTTAAGTCAAATTATTTTATTTTTATACATAAATTTGTTGACTAGTTAATTTAGTTCAAAATAAAAAATATGACTTCCTATTTCTAATTTTCAGTTCAAAGTCCACTTAATCAAATTGACTTAAGTATTATTCAAATTTGTTACTCAACTGTAGTGTCGTTTCTATCATTCTGAGGAAATCAAATTGAAACTCAACAACACCTCTCTTAATTATTGCAAGCTCGCTATCTTCCTCTTCTTGTGATTTTAACAATAAAATTATGAAGAACTCAGCAAAAAGAGACTCAAAAGACACATAATATTGGACAACATTATTTTGTAAAAGCTAAAATTGAACATATCATTAATTGAATTAATGTAGCTTTGTAAATATTAAAAAAAATTTAATTATAATTCAGAACTTGGGAACCGAACTTAACCGAATGGAAGTGAACCCAAACAATTCCATAATTAAATTTGGACCCGACGGTTCCACTTACTAAAAATCGAAAATTTTGGATCCAGTTCGATTCTCGTTAGACCCGAACCGAATCAAACCATTTCCAACCGTAATAGTAAGTCTTGTAAAGCGAGATTAAGTAACAAATAAATGCCATTTTCATAGATGACACAACTAACCCTTAATCAACAAAGTGTATAAATTGACATGTAAGTGCTTGTTTGATAATAAAAATTCCAAAATTTTTATCAACTTGTAGTGTCTTGGGGTTATTCGCGATAATGAATGTTTGGTGATTGCTACCTATTCCCCAAGATTCTTGTGTATTTTCAGTTCACTGCTTTCTAAGAAAGATATTCACTTAAAATATCCTATATAGGAATTTATCACAAAGGAGTACAACTTATAATGCTATAGCAGCGAGTATCGTAAACAAAATCATACGAAACAAAAAAGGAGATATGAATATCCATAACAGATCCATCGATTGAACAAATAAGTAGTTGATATTTGAAATCAAATATTTACAATGACATTAAATTTTGATTTATCTTTTCTTCTTCAGACTTATTAGATTTTGTCAATTAAAACTTTATTTACTTGTTTATTAGAGTCAATCGTACAATTTTAAACAGTATTTTTTTTAAAAATGAGTATCCTTTTGAATTTGGGATGGATAAGAAAAACAAGTCATCTAAGCAGATCAAAAATTTTGGGAAAATGTATAGCAAGTATTTTCGAATCACAAATGCTAATTTGAGCATCTAAGCAAGTCAAATTTAGGCAAAAAAGTATTGAAAGTAAAATTTAAGCTAAGTACTTCTAATCTCAGACTTAGCTAAACATGCTCCAAGTATCTCAATCTAGTGGCTTAGAGAATTTAAACATGCTTGCGTCCTAAGATGACATAGTATCCATCTTTGTTCAATCTAGCAGCATCTCCAATTTTGAAGAATTTACTGTTAGTAAACAACTCCTTAGTTACATAACAAATATCCATGACTTCAATCTCCTAAGCTTTCTGCTTGGCCAACTCGATCTCATTCAAAGGAGGTGAAACACTGGTGTACAATAGAGATTGAGGCGGAGGTGACAAGCCTTCGCGCTATGACCACCGACGAAGTCTTATGGTGCTCGTATTCATACCATGTGCGTAAACCTTAAACTGCATGTTAGGGATAATGTGGAGTGAAAGCACTTATAAAAGAGATATTTTAGTCTACAGTACATAAATGTACTGGGAAATGGGAACTTGGAGAGAAAGGGAAAGGCAAACGGAAAGAAAAGGAAAAGGATGAGGGCTATTTTAATTAATTGGACAATGAATAGTACGAATTTATGAACAAGTTTGAAGGTGTGTGAATCTCACGAGTGAAGACAAGTACATATTTGAATGTTAAGGGTCGGGAATGGAACAACTAATGAAT